ATATTAAAAAGAAGGAAAATTACTTTTCCCTTAAAATTCTAGGGGTTCATAAGGTTTGCATTTCAATCTCCAATAGGGAAAATTGACTTCCTATCCCTAAGGGAAACAAGAAAAAACATTATCTTTGCTAGAAAATAGGAATTGTTTTATCTGTTTCCATTTTAGCCAAGTGGTTCATTCTGATTGCTAAGCAGCACATCGTACAGCCCATTGTTCTCTCTTGAAGTTTTCTATTGAGTCTACAGTTTTGATAGTTCATACTGTCGGACTTATGCGAGTGACAGATCATATATTTTCTCATTTCCATCTCTAAAATATGCAAATACTAGATAACAGGGTAATAGCCACAGTTCTGCTGGTATGTCTGGTTGATTAGTTGGTTTGGGCATTGCTAATTTTAAAATTCTTATAGTCATCTCCATGTACATTATTTTATTATGACTTTGTTTCAGTAGCTTTTTCTTCTCTTCCTTTTTCATTTAATTAACATCAATGACTGTATCATCCTGTGGTTTTATTATATATTAAATATAATCTAACTTTAAAAGCCTTTAAAAAATACAGACACTGGTCCTTTGTGGTTTCTTTTGTTCTTTTTGAACAATTTGTGACACTGAACAAGTGACACACATGGTTCAAACATGTACACCAATGTATGCCAGAGAGTATTGCATGTCATCAGCATTCTCTGAAAGACATTTCTACTTTGCCCAATCCTCTTGGTACTGCCTCTTCCCCCAGCTGATGCAGATCAAATTGAGAGCTCTTCTGCTATCTTTTGGAAGTTTAGAAATGTGCAGAAAAACATTTGGAACATTTCATGGGGTATTTCAATATAGAATCTGCACTCGTGGGTGAAGAGAACATTGGTGTTTTCAGTTCCTTTCACTTATCACAAGTTAAGATAAATATATAAATGCAAAATTTTTTTAATAACATCCAAAATAGGCAATACAGTTCTAAATGTTTGGAAAGACATAGGTATAAGTGAATGAAAAACTATACCTAATTAATTCATAATAAATTCACATATTTAAAGTCTTCTCTTATTGAATGATAGATTTAACAGTAATTTCTCCTTCCACATCATGTATTCTTCCAAACTCTAACTCATTTTATTCTTTCTGTCCCTAAGGGGCAGCCTGATCACCCATCTATCTAGTCTGAAGTCAATTCCCTTCAATAGCTATATGAAGCCTTTTTGTTACATTAGAAGTCATCTCCTGCACTTTAATAGCTAGCAAACAATTATTTGCTTCAATTAAGTTTAAAACTCCTGTTCTCTGGTGCCTGTTTGGTATGTTTTAGTCAGAAAAGGCTCTTTTGATGATCATTTTATGTTAATGTGTATATTAAAGCAAGAGCTAATACAAACAACATCACTTTCTAATTGTATACACATTATTACAATTCTTGTCTGAGATGAGACTTTAACAACAATCAATCACTTGGGAGTGATACCAGATTTAAAGTGTCAACTCCCAATCTCTTTCTCTTACACATGTATGACAACACAATCTCACTAGAAATTTTCCTGTTACACACATTATAATTATATTTAAATCCACAACATATGGCCAAAGAAATATTTTACTTATTTACCTAAAGAAACAGAATTTGAATCAGAATAGAGAAGATCCTAGGCTATAAATCTAAGAATGACTTCCTCATTTGGAGCACCTGCAGTGAAGTAAGAAGAGGGCAGTGATGGCCTGTGGTAAGCCACCTGCTCCAATTCCTTGCTGGCCAAGAACTATAATGTAGACCTTACTGATAGTCTGTTCATTTATCACAAGGACCTGGTCATACTCTAGAACAAGTGTATTTCTCCCACCTGTCTTGCTGGGTGCAGAGAGATAGCAAATCAAGACCTTCACCCATTCTTCTTAAAGAAAGAATCACCATGTAAAGGCATCCATCCGTGTGTTAGTGAGGACCATTGATGGAACAGCCTCCAATACCTGGTATATACAAAGGTGTATGAACAATATGAACATATTTGAACAAATATAGCCAAGCATTGTAAATGAAGCTGTGAGAATAAATTGGCTGTGTGCTTATAACACTACAACTGGTTATAACTGCAGTATCATGCTTTGACTTTACAGATGACTCTTCTTATTTGTAATGCAGTAATATCATTATTGAATATAGATGCTGTACTTCTATGATGAAGCTATATTCCATCTAAGAAGCAGATGTTCTCTTCTATGCCCATCCATACAGTACCCATATGTGATGGTCCAACCAAAATCATAGTTGATGCCTCAAACATCCAATGGGGAACTTTGGCAAAGGAGATGTCTCTATGGAAATATCTGAGTCATGCAGATAACAACAGAGAGAAGCGGCGAGAGGAGCAGGGGGGTCCCATGGAGGTGGGACCACAACTTTCTGAAGCTGGACTTCCCTGTCTTGTGTGACTCAAGACGGAGGAGTCAATGGAGAGGCCATTTTCACAATGTGTACACTGAGAGGAAGGGTCTTGCCTGGAAGGAGAGGGGAGTAGCTCCCAAACGACCCCCAAGACCACCGAACTATTTCCAGAGAGCACTGAGGGTACAAACTGTGCATGCACTGGCCCCAGAGAATTACAGAAGCATGAACTGCCCATGACACCTAATTAGCCTAATGAATCCAAACACCTGTCTGGAGGAGAGGAAAGGGATTATAGGGTGCAAACTGAAGCCCTGTGTGCTGCCCCTCCAGAAGCAGACCTCTAGGCTGGTGGCACCAACGTTAGAACCAGTATTAGTGAAATCTTTCTCTCCTCCCCCCTTTTTTTTCCTCTCTCTCACTCTCTTTTCATTTTTTTCCCTTTTTCCCATTCTCTGCATATATGCCTCATTGGTACATATGATAAGATTTAAGGCTTTTTGGTGTATGCTACATATTGCACAGTTTGTTGGTGTATTTATGGTTTGTCAGTATATGATGTAAGATTTGACTCAGCCACTGTTTTCATTGTATTCACAAATTTTGGTTATTATTCGAGTTTTTTTGCCTAGCTGCTATACTATCTGTTGTGACACTATCAAATTTCAAGTAAAAACTGGCGATTTGGAGAAACCTTTTGAGTGATCTTTGACAGTTCTCATAGCACACAGATAATTAAAAACAACCTCACGCTAGACCACAAAGTGGGACAGGACACCATACAGACACAAAATAAACCTATCAGTGATTCGGCAGGTCTGGTAACTTTTAAATTAAGGAAATTAAATAATTTATTGAGGTAGAGAAATAACTCTGTCATCATTTGAGCCTACTCAGCAACTAAACACCACGTAGTCGCTCACCCACCCTCCACCCACTTGGGAACGGGGAGGGAATTGGAGGGGCAAAGGGAGACTCGTGGGTTGAGATACAAACAGTTTAACAACAGTGACAGAATAACACGCTGACAGCAGTAACAACAGATAATGGACAATACAGCTGCTCACCTCCCACGTGCCTGCTCCCAGCCAGAGATCCCCAACACACAGGCCCCACAGCCACACTCCCAGAAGTGAGAGCCCCTCCTGGCCCACTCCTGACTTTATATAGTGAGCACAGTGTCACATGACCTGGACTATCGGCCAATCCGGGCCCAGACCTCCAGCTGTGCTCCCCCTGCCCCAGCCCCCAGGCAAGGGCTCTGGGGCCTGGAGAGCCCCTGGGGTCTCAGTGTGCTGCAGCACTCCTCCAGCTGCCAAACCAACAGGAGCTCAAGTCCAGCCCCAGCCAGGACAAACTTAAAGAAAATCCATGTCTACAACAACAGGCCAGGAATAACAGTCATAAGAAGGAAAAATTTCCTTGTATTTCTAGTATGTTTTTCATGTGGGTGTGGAAATCCACACCGGTCCTTTATTTTTGTGCAGTACTTTTCTTATTACAGTAGATACATCGTATTAGCTCGATTTATGAGGACTAGGGGAAGAGCACATAATTATTAACGCAACACTAATTAAAACATTAGCCTTAGAATTCACTGAGACCACATTCTTCATTTTCTTTTCTTAAATGTTAAAAAGCCTTCTTATTTTTTACTGCTGTTCAGTGGCTTAGCTTCCTAACAAATCTCACCCTTTGTATAGTTTAACTTTTCTTCATCTTTTTGTTCTCTGCTTTGTATCTATCATCTAATGCTGACCTTCATTTAAAGTCTGTACTGTGTTAGGTCTTTCCCTCACAAATAGTGCTGAGAAGTGGATTTTAACAAAGTAAAGGATTTCCTTTGCAGCAATCCATTAACTTTTTACAAAGGACACAAGAAGCTGCATACAGTAATGAATGTCACTGAAGAGATAAAAAGAAAAACTCCTTTTTTCTTCTGATTCAGAACGTATGTGTAACTTTGTCATCTCAAGGCCATTAATCAAGTTTCTGTCAAAGATATAAAAAAGGTAATTGTTCCAAAATTAAAATTGACAGGAAAAACCTTTTAGAAAGGTGACCTCTCTAAGGATTGGTTTCAGGACACCTGCATGACAATGACTGTGCTAATGAGGTGGTATCATTTAGTAACAAAGGAATTTTATGTGTGTCAAACCTTTCAGTCATAGAATCATCAAATCATTTAGGCTCGAAAGGACCCTTAGGATCATTGAGTGCAACCGTAAACCTAACACTGCCAAGTCCACCACTAAACTGTGTCCCTAAGTACCACATCTACATATCTTTCAAATATCTCCAGAGATGGTGACTCAACCACTTCCCTGGGCAGCCTGTTCCACTGCTTGACAACTCTTTCAGTGAAGAAATTTTTGCTCATATCCAATCTAAATCTCCTCTGGCACAACTTGAGGGCATTTCCTCTTGTCCTTTTGATTGTTACTTGGGAGAAGAGACTGACACCCACCCCATTACAACCTCCTTTCGGATAGTTGTAAAAAGTGATAAGGTCTCTTCCAAGTATGAAAAAAGAACATGAAATTGTGCTCTTTCCATTGTCCAACCTGATCTGAGGAAGATTATTAGAAGCTAAATGAGGAGAATAACGGAATCCGGCAACTCTATAAGAGTCATAAATCGAAGATGTTTATTGCCAATACAAGCACGTTTATATATCTTCCTAGCAACTGATCACACATAAACAGAAGGCTTGATTGGTTACATGCATTCTCCACACACTGTCCACGCACCTAAGACTAACATTTGATTGGTCATTACCCTCTGTCCATAATACACCAGACAACTCATTAGCTATAAGTTAGTTACTGATATCCTAAGCCTATTGGTTAATTAAATCTTACAAGCACAAGCACAACATCTTATACACTTTTAGCTCAAGGCAGAAAACTTTCCACTGTTTAAGAAATGGCCAGATCTTTTCCATTAACCATAGCCTTTCATGTTTTCTTCAGACAAAGCTCAGCATCCTTATCTTGTTTTTCTACATTCCTGTTTGTTGCTCCCAAGGCTTCTGGCTGACCAAGGTCAAGATGTCCTCATCATTCACTAGCTGTACAGCACTCTCAGTTCTTTTTCCCAGCCGTCCTCCTACAGCTAAACACTGAAAATATATAGAATTCCAGTTTAGATTTTCACTTTATTTATAGATAATAGATAACTGTCAATATAAACATTGGTACAATGAGGTATATGTGGTATATATTATGGAAGGAATTACAGGAAATAATTATTTTTTAGATATGCAAACAAAAATTATTTTCAGGGAAAAAAAAATTACAAATATAATTAGTTTGGAGTACAAGCACTTATTCATACTAGAGCTGAAATTTAGTCCTACAATCTTAATGACCTACCACAAAATGAGTATGCATACATTAAGATAATAATCATAAAAAAAAAGTAAATAACTCAATAATACTAACCACAATATCTCTTCAAGGAAATCATTATGTCTTAAGTCACAGAGGACATTTTGTTTTAAGGTGGTCTAGTGACTAATTTGCCAAACATGTTATCTTCCAGATCCTCATATCCTGAGAGGACTGAAAACAAGGAATCACTTTTTGGGTATGGAGGAAATAGAAAAGTATCAGTGACCACAATAGTGACAATATAAGAGAACAAAGAGGATGTTTTTTCCATAAGCAAAAATCTACATCTGTATCAGGCAGTTACTAGAGTTCTTACTATCATGGAATTACTGAGCCCAACATACATACTGTATGCTGCAATTATTTACATGCACTGAGCTCCTAAAACTGCCTTAGGAAATCCTGTATTGATGCAGACTCCAGGATTCTCAGCTTAATACCACCAATTCTGCCATTCATCTATACTTAAATGTTCAAAACAGTTGTCTGAACGGGATAATGAGGACTTTATTTTGATAATAAAATGTTCTATAGAACTGAAATATTTTTCCAAGGGTGACTGGATAAAGTTAATGAGAAATTACTTGTGCTCAAAATATCCACCCAAAAGATAAACCAGGTCACTGGTTGATGAGTGTCTAGCACAGAAAGGGGGATAGCATAGATTTTCTTATCCCTAAAGGTAAATTTTCCCTCTATTGTCTCCAACAGTATGAATGCTCTTTATGTAAAACAGCATGGATTTCTCAGGTTAGCTGTTTCTGGGTTATGGACAGTTAAACTGGCAAGTGTCACAAGACTAATCAACCTTCTAGGTACAGAATGCACACCCAGGACCACCTTTTTCTTGTTCTAGAAACTGCTATTTTTCAACAGAGCAAAAACCTTAGTTTTTCTTACAACCCAATATCCTAGGATATTGCTTAACCATTAAATATTGAGAGCAATAGTAATTTCACTTTGTGGTTTAGTCAGCTAGATTATTTTGTTCATTGCAGACATGAGATCCTTGAACTTTGCAGCCACAAAGTATGGAAAAATTCAGTCCCAGACAACAGCGCTCCAAGGAAAGCATATTATATTCACTTTTCTTTATGAGCTCACTTTCTCTGCTCGTATACATAAGACATAAAATCTCTATAATTAAAATTAACTTCTATTTTAAGTCTCTCTGTTCCTTGAATTTACTATAAATTATGCTGATTTATTTACTAGCTTGAGCAGCAAATTGAATGGGAAATCATACAAAGTGCTGCATGATGTGTTAATGTAGTTCACTAGAATTATTACTAGAATTTTACCTAAACACTCAGTCTTACTAGAGACATCTTCCTAATCTCACAAATTCAATCTTAATTTATATCTCATGCAGTCTTTTACAAGGAAATATTTCACTCCTTTCCAAAAGATTTCAAATTCATAAAGGAGTAGATGTAGATAAATAATGGAAAAAAAAATATATTATGGTTTTCATGAAATTAAATAAATTGTTTTTCATTTTCTTTACTATCATATCAAAACCTTCCCAGACCTTGAATATATAATTGTCCCAATTCAGCAAAGTAAATATATTAATTCTTATCTTCAAGGTCAGTATACCAATTGGAATAAAATTTGGAAAGCTGTAAAAGTGGCTGTGAAAATTTAGTATTTAAAAAAGAAAGATTGATTCAAAATGTAATTTTTCCAGTTTCCAGCTGGAAATTTTTTTCCAAGACTCAGTATTAACCTACTAGAAAAATCATATTTATTGATTAGTACAAATAAAACTTATTTGAAATTGCTTACTCCATTATATCTGGTAGTTTCATCTCTCCTATCAGTACTGCAAGAAATTCCTATGGCATGATCAGGATATTTTTAAAAGTCTAGGGTAATTCTATAGGTCACAGAACTTGAAATACACAGGTGACATAACTGAAGTAACAAAACTTTTGATGTGGATTTTGTTAAGAAAACTAATTACATATTTCATGAGCTCTAGAAATAATGAAGTCTGATTTTCTATTAAATTATGAAATTGTTAGCCATATTAAGTAGAACACCGGATGAAAAATCCAGATGAAAATTCCTTTTTGAGCTCCTGCCTTTCAGATCCTGCTAATATCTCTTAACTCTTTTCTGTGTGGGGAAAAAAAGATGGTGAATATTGTAGCTAGCTTTGAGTGGTACAGAAATCATAATCTAATTAGACAACTACTACACCCATCTTGACTAAGCACTTGACAGGAAAAGCTGAAGAGGTAGCTGTTTAAGCCTTAAAATTGTATCTTTCCTTTATACCAATCTGTTACTTTCTAAAAAGGTATAGAAACTTCAGATCCTTACGATTTCTAACTATTTATCAAATCTGTGTTAAATTGATGAGTGGGCTTATAAGCACTGAGAAGTAACTACCATACACAGAAGGATAAATGGTTGAAATCCCATTCACATTAGTTGCCTCCTGATGGGAAATTAGACTGACAGAACTTGCAATGACTTACTTTTTTTTTTTTTTTTTCCAGTAAAACCCCCACAACCTAAATGTAAGAACTTCTTTATAGATTTTTGTTATAAATTTAAAATATTATAACTCAAAATAATCAATGTTATCTTGAAGAGTAGCCTAAAAACACATAGTTAATCCATATTCTTTTTCTGATGAAAAGAGGGAAACAACTGAATTTTCAATAGGGGAATAAAAAAAGGAGTCTGACAGCATTTGTTTTTAGCACATTCTCAACATGCATTTATTTCAGAATGTTCTCTCTCATGTGACATGGCATGCACTTATCTTTTGCTTTAATTTCTTCCAAGGTCTTAGCTGCTGTTACAAACATTTTGGGGTGGCCAAAATATTTACAGTGACATCTTCAGTTGTTGCACACTGTGCCCTGAGTGTTCTTGACAGTGACTCTCATACCTCTGAGGTGTCAACATTAAGTTTGTACAGAAAGAAGTTACAGATGGACAATCATCACCATTCTTTGGCTCCGTTGTTCAATTGTCTTATACATGATACACTAAGAAATACAGAGCGAACTATGCTAGACCTGCACCATTACACTAACACAGTGTATAGTTAAAATCCATAGCTAAACATTTAGGATGTTTACCAGCAGGTGCACAGAAGGGCTCTAGTAATAAGACTTTCAGCCTCTTTTACTGAGTATAAAGGCACAACCACAAGGATACCATTTACAGTGTAAATCTTTACTAGCAGAAACTTAGGACAGCACTGCCTGTGGAAGTGGTACTCAGCCTTACAAGAAAACTATGTCCAACATTTTTCACAAATATTTTAGTTCTGGCTTTTCTCTAATGTCTTTTTTTTTTTGACCACTGAGACAGACAGTGGGACACAACTTGATTCTCGGAGAAGAACAGAGGAGCAGCAGAGTGTGTAATAAAAACTGTGAATCTAGATAAAGCACCTCAGTACCTAAGGACACTTCAAAAAATGGGTTGAAAGAGCAGCATGATCCTTACTGAGATGAGATATTTGCAGAAAGGGAGGCTGTGACTCTTACTGAGGCTGAGACCTGATTGCTTGGTTGTATTGCAGTGCCATCACCACTTCTTCATACTTTGTTTTGTCAGGATGTGTCCCAGACTTTCTGTGTCCAAAACTGTCAGAAGAAGAAGCAGATGCTCAACCAACTCTGTCAGTTACACAGGTGGTCCCTGTGACTATTGTAACTGGATATGAGCTAAAGATGTTGGAATACAGTGTGGATCCCATTCCTTCTCCACAAGATTCTAAATTTGGTGTGTAGGTATCCATAATGAACTGTATGATATCATATGACAGGTGTCCTACATTCAGACACTGTCTGGTAAGTCCAGTGACTTTCCTGAAGGTGGTCAGAAAACAGTGGAATGAATTTCCCAATCATTTCCTAAGGGTGAAGTTACCTCTGTTTCTATATGACAAGGGAAAGACTGCAGAACATTATTCAGCTCATCCAGTTAAAGTTGTATTTCAGTTGGGATGGAAATAAAATGTATTTGATCTCTTGAAGCTACAGATAGACCCCAAATGAGGAATTTATGGAGAAAAGGCTTATGTAACTTCCTAAAGCATCTGTTCTACTATTCAGATGCAGTTCAGAGGGAGAACATCACTGGAACTCACAGTGGGGATAGTAACTTCCTACTCTTCTCCTCTAGCCCTTCATCTTAAGATTCATAGCAGAAGGGGAGTTCCAGTACAGCTGACAGCAAGCTAGAAGTGAATGATTTAGTCTGATGATAACATTGGTTTCCATAGGTCCCTACAATCTACAAACTATTCACAGTCAGTGTCTGGAAAGAATGAGATGGAGAGCAGGTGAAGATATAGAGGGAGTGAGACAGAAGAAGCAGCACTTTCATATTCCTCCCTTATAGAGAAGTAAACACTGAAGTTCTTCCTGAGGTCCCAACTATGAGATTTAACAATCAAATCTCACACTTCAGAGCTCCAAGTACTTTTCTGAAAAGGTTGAAAAATAAATGTTTTTATCCACAGAATCTTAACTGTGCAGGAAACTTCTCTTGAAGTATCAGCTGGAGATCTACAGGTAGAAGCAGGACACTAAGGAAGGCAGAACCATTGTTCTGGTGATATTCATTAAATGATGTTGCTTCAGGAGACAAAAGGTTGGAAAATTAATACAAAGAATATCAGAGCATCAAGAACCAGACCTAACCTGGTTGCTCTAGGAAATAAATTTTTTTCTTGAGGGCACTAGTAAAGAAATTAATTTTAAAAAATGTAGGTTTATATGGAGTCATACTGACAGAATCTCTATACAGTAAAACACCATCCTTACGTCTTTAAAGAATTGTGGAAAAGGTATCAAAGGCACCAGATACATGCCCATGTTCTGAGACCTCCTTAGGGCTAAGAATAAGGGAAATGGTTTGTGAAGACCAGCTGATTTTTTCTGAACAGTGTGCCATACTCCTAAGGAAGTTTCCACCAAAACTTTAGTGATCAGGCATGCTGTGGTCAAGGGTGTGAGAAGCAGTTTTATCAGCAGAAGTTTTATGATCTCCTATAAATCCCCAAATGTCAACAAATTCTGAAATATTTTAAATAATAATTTGTATCATGCTAGGCATCCCAGACAAAATAATGAATACGAACTTGCATCAGTGTTCACGTATGTTATTTGCACATACAGTTCTTAAACAGTTAGGGCTTCTCTATTTAAAAATCCTATGCAGTCCAATAGAAACTGTTTTTTCTGATAATTTTTTATTCCTTCTGTAGAAACAAATTTCCCAAGGTACTCAAACAATGATCCATAAAGATGATTTATTTCCATGGAGAGAGAAAGAGACAGAGATAGAAACTTGATGACTTTAATTTCCCTGAAAATGTTTTTATTCAATTGGGTTTGTTTTGCTGTCTGTTTATATTCTTCTTGTGAATAAAACAAAACAGCATGAGTCATTCCTTTATCCAGTGGTAACGTTTTTATTTAGCTGAACTATGGATCATTTTCTTATTTTCTTCACTAGGATATATTTTCTCCAAGACACAACATCCATCTTTTCTCTTTGTCTTTCTCATAATCATCCCTGGAGCTAATGAGCTTATTTTCTAAGAGGAAACCAAACTATTCATACCCAAATGAAATTTAATTTCCTGTACATTTACAGAAATGCACAGAATTTACACTTCTGGTGTTTCTTATAGGTCTAGGGGGAGTTTTCCTTGCTGAACATACACCCATCTCCTACATTTCCCTCATCTTTTTTTCTAAATTGTTATGCACTAACTCAACTAAGAATACCAGAATGTAGTGATTATCCTATTTTTGTCAAACAACAGATGTTCCAAATGCTCAGACCTCTCCTGCAGGAGCTGGATCTGGGAAAATGCATCTGTTGCAAAGCAACTGCATTTAGGCAGCAAAGATGCAGTATAACTTTGGTAGGAAATTAAAAATCTTGCTTCAGTTTCTATACTTTCATTTTAATACAAATTTTCCTTGCAGGAATTTTTTATCGCTATAAACAGGCTTTCCAATGAGAACTGCAAGATCTTACTTATACTTGCTCTTGAGATAGGATACTCAAAAAAATAATTTTGTTCATCTTTCCAGGAAAACTTTTTCACAATGTTCAAGGTAAACAAGAGTAGTGCCTATAATTTCTGAAGGATGAGCTATTTGTTTGTCTTGTCTGGAGTAGAGCTGTATTGTTATCTTCTTAAATTTTCTATTCTGTGGCTCCACACTGCTAGAGTTGTGTCATTAGTGGATTTCCAACTCCAGTCACAGAAAGCATACAGGGAGTCATTCCAGCTCAAACATAAAGTCTGACACCTTTGTCATAGAGAAATGCGCTTACCACTTCCTGTCCTCAGCTTATTTGTGCTGACCACTTGATAATTTTGCAATGAGAATGCAGGCCCATCACCATGCAACTTCTCACAGTTCTCAGTGATGGTAGAAGAAAGTTCTTACACCTGGAATGGAAAAAATACCATATGAAATGGCTCAGCTTCCTACAGGGCAAAGTACCATAGGATATATCCACACAATCGCAGCAGCAGGTAATATCTCACAGCTCAGCAAAAACATGGATTTCCATATGACTACTTGTATCCAGGATAGATAAACTTAGTTACCAGAACTGTATGTCAATCACCATGTTTAGGCTCCTTTTGTGTACTCACTGCATTCACAAAACATAAAATGGATTAATTCATTACAGGCCATTTGTATGAGAATAACCTGACTAGTAGTTTTATTATTATCTCTACTGGAGTAGTGTGACACAACCAGCTAATTTTTAGAACAAATTTTCAGTCCAGTTTCAGTATCCTGTTCAGGGAGCTCTTGTTTTACCAGTATGAACTTTTAATTTGTGGTTTAAACAAAGATATTATGCTGTCAAGAAAAGATACAAAAACTTGGTACCTTGAGTTTGGCATTTGGCTCACAAATTCACCATATATCTTTTAAAGATTCTGCAGAGTAATGGTACAATGCATCCTGACAAAGAAGAAGTCAGGTAAGAACACCAGGAGGCCTGCATGGATGAAGGAGCTCCTGGACAAGCCCAAACACAAAAAGGAAGCCTACAGAGGGTGGAAGCAAGGACAGAGCATGGGAGGAATATGAAGAAACTGTCTGAGCAGCCAGGGATCCAGTTAGGAAGGCCAAAGCCCTGATAGAATTAGATCTGGCCTGGGACATCAAGAGCAACAAGAAAAATTTCTAAAGGTACAGCACTGATAAAAGGATAACTAGGAAAACGTGGGTCCTCTCTGGAAGGAAACAAGAGACCTGGTTACCTGGAGTATGGAGAACACTGAGGTACTCAGCAAATTTGCCTCAGTCTTTGCTGACAAGGGCTCCAGCTACATCACCCAAGGTGCAGAAGGCAAAGGTGGGGACTGGGAGAATGAAGAACTGTCCATTGTAGGAGAGGATTGGGTTCAAGAACATCTAAGGAACCTGAAGGTGCATGAGTCCATGGGACTTGATAAGATGCATCTGTGGGATTTGAGAGAACTGGTAGATGAAATGGCTAAGCCACTCTCCATCCTATTTGAGAAGTCATGGCAGTCCAGTGAAATTCTCACTGACTGAAAAAGGGGAAACATACCCCCATTTTTAAAAAGGGAAAAAGGGAAGACATGGAAAACTACAGGCGAGTCAGTCAGTCTCATCTCTGTGCCCAGCAAGATCATGAACCAGATCCTCCTAGAAAATATGGTAGGGCACATGGAAAATAAGGAGGTGATTGGTGACAGCCAACATGGCTTCACTAAAGGCAAATCATGCCTGACAAAATTTGGTGACCTTATATGTTGGCGTTACAATGCTATTGGATAAGGCAAGAGCAATAGATGTCATTTACTTGGACTTGTAAAATGCATTTGACACTGTCCCACATGACATCTTTGTCTCTAAATTGGAGAGCCATGGATTTGATGGATGAACCACTCAGTGGTAAGGAATTGTCTGGATGGTTGCATTCAAATAATTGTGGCCAACAGCTCAATGTCCTAGTGGAGACCAGTGATGAGTCGTGTTCCTCAGAGGTCAGTGGTGGACCAGTACTGTTCAACATCTTTGCTGGAAACATGGACAGTGGGATCAAGTGCATCCTCAACAAGTTTGACAATGACACCAAGCTGTGTAGTGCGGTCGACACGCAGGAGGGAAGGGATGCCAACCAGAAGGATATAGACAAGTTTGAGAGGTGGGCCTGTGCGAACCTCATGAGGTTCAACAAGGCCAAGTGCAAGGTCCTGAACATGGGTCAGGGCAATCCCATGCACAAATACAGGCTGGATAAAGAGTAGGTTGAGACCAGCCCTGCAGAGAAGGACTTTGGGGTATTAGTGGATGGAAAACTAACTATGAGCCAGCAATGTGTGCTCTCAGCCCAGAAAGCTAACCGGATCTTGAGCTGCATCAAGAGAAGTGTGGCCAGCAATTTGAGGGAGGTGCTTCTCCCCCTCTACTCCGCCGTTGTGAGACCCCACCTGGAGTACTGTGTTCAGCACTGACCTGCTCAAGCAGCTCCACAGGAAGCCACAAAGATGATCGGAGGGCTGGAGCACCTCCCCTATGAGAACAGGCTGAGTTGAGGTTGTTCAGCCTGGAGAAGAGAAGGGTCCAGGGAGACTTTATAGGTGCCTTCCAGTCCTTAAAGAGGGCCTACAGGGAAGATGGAGATGGACTCTGTATCAGAGAGGATAGTGACAGGATGAGGGGTAACAGTTTTAAACTGAAAAAGGGTGGAATTAGGTTAGATATAAGGAAGAAATTCTTTACTGTGAGGGTGGAACAGGTTGCCCAGAGAAGTTGTGGATGTCCCCTCACTGGAAGCGTTCAAGGCCAGGTTGGACGGGGCTTTGAGAAACCTGTTCTTGTAAAAGGTGTCCAAGCCCATGGCAGGATGTTTAAACTAGATGATCTTTAATGCCCCTTCCAACCCAAACCATTCTATGATTCTATGTAGCCAGCCAATAATACAGGAAAATTCCTGTCAGACTCTGCTAGTGGACTAAACATCTATAATGCATGCCCTGCTTCTTGTACTTTACTTTTACTGCACTATTAATGGACATAACTGACTTTCAGTATAATTATCTTTTAGGTAATTGTACATGCCTAAGTAGGCTTACGTATGTTGTTGCCCAGAGACATTTTCACTCAATGTACTTAGTTTTCTGTTGCATATTTTTCCAATGGAGTGTGTTTTAAGGGAAAAGATCAGTGTTGGAATTCAGTGAAAATACTTAAGTACCTAACTGTTTTACAGAATTAATCCCATGATTTACCACCTCAGTATCCACTGAAGGGGCAATGTGACATGGTGCAAGCAATCCAGGAGATTTCTGGAGACTGTAGAAGACAACTGATGAAGATTAATGAACCAATGAATTGTTGATTGCTGGGTCAACTAGGGGAGATGCCCCTAGCTGGACTGATTCATAAAAGAAGAATGGATGGATGTTGTAAAGGTCAATGACAGCCTTGGCAGCAGTAACTATGAGATAGTAGAGTTTAAGATTCTGAGAGAAGCGAGCAAGACAAATGGGAAAGTCAAAATCTTGGACTTCAGGAAACCAGATCTGGACTTGTCCAGGGATCTACTTGGGGAAATAAATGGGAGAGGTCCTAGAGGGCAATGAGGCCAGGAGAGCTGGCCTCCTCAGAGCACAGGAACAGACTATTTTGAAATCAGACTTGTTGGTATTGATTCTGTTCCTGCATCAGTCCTCTACACATGCTTCAGTTTTCATCACACATTCACAGTGTAACCCCATTCTACTTTAGCATTTCTTTTCACACCTAAAAAAAAAAAAATCAGTTTTATACATATATTCACCTTCTTTATTTGAAAGAACTGACAAGAAAAAAAAATATTTGAAGAGAAGGGTTGAGTAAATGGCTGCACAGTGCTCAGTTGCTCTCTGGGCTCAAACCATGCCAACTGTTGAGCTATGAGGCGAATTGGCTGCACCACTAGGCTCAGAAAGTTATGACGCAGTTGGCAGATGGATATTTGTGGTATGTGAGGTGCTGATACTGTGACTAATACTGTTTAAAATCTGTATTAATGGCCTGATGGAAACAAAAATGCAACCTCAGTAAATATGAAGGTGAATCCAAATTGAGGACAGTGGATGATGTGCTGGAAAGTAGGGCTGTTATTCAGATAGCCCTTAGAAGCTGAGAGTTGAATATGACTGATATAAACTAACAAATCTCCCAGATCACAAGAGAATAGTTTACTCATGATGATCTTTTTAATTGCAATAATTACATTTTTTTCTTCAACACCTGACCAAAACAGAATTGTGAGAGTTATTGTTCTTCATGTCCTTATGATAGTTCTCCTCATGAAGAACCCGTTTTATTTCTCTGAGATAGCAGTCTGTTAATGCTGTCCCCAAAACTTTGAATCAATTGTTCAATTTCTACCACATTTAGCATACAAATAGAGGTCTCACAGCTATTAAATTCCAACATGTTTCATGAAAACAGGCACAGGAGTTCCCCTGCTACATGAAAAAAGATCAGTTTCAAATCAGCAGTGTTGCCAGGGACACAAAAACCAAAAACTTATGTGTAGGAGAAGAGGTAAGGATGAAAGCTAAGGTGTTAGCAAGCAAGGCTGAAGATGAAGTAGTAATAGTCTGGGAGATGGCTAGAAAGGATGTGGAATAAATACACATGAAACTGGCCTTAACTAGTTCTGCTCCTCATAAAATACCTTGGAGTTTGAAGTTTGAAAATTTGGAGCACAAATTGAAGATAAGAATCAACGTAGCCTAAGCTTACAAGTTATGTAAATAACTGGTAAAACAGAAACAAAGTATTCTCTCCTGTCCACAAAGAATAAATACAAAAACATTGTCATGTGTCTGTGTATGCATTCTGACACTTGCTCAATGGCATAAAACAGAACAAACTTCAACCATGTGATGACTGAAAGGCTTGTTGAAAGAAGAAATCATTGACATAACTATGGGGTCTCAGTATGATAAAATTGTGTAAAATGAAATTGGCAACTGTTATGAAATTAAAATGGCAGTATCTTTGGAAAATGATTACTGACCTTTGGATAAGCCAATACCACTTCTGCCAACCTCTTCAAATAGACATCTTTGAAGTGAAGGATATTTGATTTAACCATATTATGTCTCCTATTGTGAAATTATGATTTATGAAAGAAGAAGGTTGCAATGTAAAGCTGATGCCTGGGATTGCACCCTTTAAGAGATGATACTCTTAGAAATAAAATGCAAAAAAAAAGAAAAAAAACAAGTCAGAATTCTGAAACCTCTTATTTTTCCAGCACACAGCAACATAGCTCTTTTCCTCCTTGACACGCATCATTTTGCTTTAACTGTTAAAATTCTTTGCTCTGAAGGGAGCAAACTTTCTTGATTATGGTCTCCTAGATATGACCTAGCAGCTATGAAATCTAATTGTAAATATCAGACACTTTTTCTGATGAAATGAAGAGACAGCTTGATTCAGGAAAATCACGGAAGTCTTGAAGTTCTGACAATTCCAGTATCCTTAGTCCCTG